CAGGGCCAGCTCTAGGTTTTTTGCTGCAGCAAGCTTTCATGCCCGTTCCCTTCATGCCCCTGTGCTCTTACACATGCCTTGCTCCATATCTGCCTTCCTCATGCCCACACCTTCTTTCAAGCCTTCTCCCGGCACCACCACCTCCCCCTCTAGGCCCCAGTGCCCTTACCTTCTCCTCTCCCAGCATCACCCTGTCCCCCCTCCCACTGACACCTCCCCCTCCTGCCCTTTTTCTCATTATCTCCACTTGCCCCGCCACCCAGCATTTGTCTCTCCTCCACCCTGTTCCTTGGTGCCTTCCCCTTTCTTCTCCTGACCTGCCCTCCTCCCATCAGCACAAGCCCCTTCCCCTCCCCCCCCCCCTTCCCCCCCCCCCAGCCCAGCCCAGACCCTTCCCCTCCCCCAGGGCCAGCTCTAGGTTTTTTGCTGCAGCAAGCTAAACATTTTTTGGCCGCCCCCCCTTTTTTGTTGTCTTTTACACATTTGCATTTTGCATTGGGTTTTTTTTGTTTGTTTTCGTTTTTGTCCAGGCATTTTAGCCCTATAAATAGCAAATAACATATTCATTTGTTTTTTTCCATAAAGATAAAGGTGCTTCAAATGAACTCCCCCTTTCACTGCTGCTGGGTCACAACAGCCTTTTCCCTGCCCCGTCCAGCCTCTCCCTATGGTCAAGTACCCCATACTCCCGACCCACAGGGGGAGCAGGGTGCAGGGACAGCACAGAGCCAGGGGGTGGAGGAAACAATGGGGGTGAACAGGGGTGGCGCGGGGAACAAGAGGCACAGAGGGACACAGGGATCGGGGGGAGCAGGGTGCGGTGGAGGCACGGGGAATGGGACGCGGGGAACGGGAGGGGCAGAGTGATCAGGGTCTAGGGGCAGTGCAAGGAACAGGCAGCACAGAGCTGGGGGGCAGGGATCGGGGGAGCAGAGTGCGGGGTGCAAGGGCGGTGCAGAGCCAGTGAGTCGCAGGGAAGAGGGAGAGCAGGAGGTCCGGGGTGCAGGGGAGCAGGGGCGGCGTGGGGAACGGGCGGCACGGAGACAAAGGCGTGTGGGGGCGGGCGCAGCTAGCTGGGCGGTCGACAAGGAGGTGTACCGGTAGTTCGGAATAGGAAGCCTAGTCCAAACTCA